AGCAATTGTGGATGAATTTATATGGTTTTAAAAAGTGAAAAATTGTTTTGAAAATTTGGGTGTTACATATCATCAAGGGGGATGTTTGGAAGCTACCCCAAAAGTTTTGGGTCAAACGGAGCTAAAACAAAGAAAATATAAAAGACGCAAAATTGGGAGCTGATTAGGACTCGTCACATGGGCCGTGTGCCCCAAAGGAAAAGTGACACGACCCGTGTCAACCAAGACCAAATGGACACGACTCGTGTCCTGAAGAACAAGGACCAAAAATAGCAGTTTACTTTATGGGTTTCGAAAATGATTTCTGAGTTAACACTTGAACACGACCCGTGTCATATATGCATATATGAACACGACCCATGTGCAGTTTCAGCTCACTTTTATGCACGAGCTTTCCACAATACCCATTCCATTCCATTTTACAACTAATTCCATACTTTCCATTAGATCTCGTGTGAATTACCATCTGATGCATGTGATGTTCCAAAGGCTTTCTTGATCTAATTTTGAGTTTAATATTTGAGTTGCATCTACTATAAATAGAGATGATCATACCTTTGAAACACAATCACCTTCACACCTCATACAACACACTTCATCCAGGGGCAATTCCGGACATCTCTTATTATTCCACCATTTGAAGGTCACTTGGAAGATTTATTTCTAGTTTTTGTAAGTTTTATTTCTATCTTTCAGTTATGATTTCTTTGTTTCTAGTCATGTTTGGGTAGAACTTACATTTCGATTCTGTAAAGACAATACCATGTTGTGTTTTTAATCATATGATTTGATGTTATGTTCATATCTTTGTCTAGCAATTTCAGTTTTGTTTTAAACCAATGTTTGATGTATTTTTAGTTCATGCTGATCCTAAAATTAGCATTATACCATTCTTGTTATTCTATTTTATAAAATCTGTAATTGTTTTATAAAATGATACCAAGTAACAAACATTAAATTGTTTTCTATTTTGTTGACTTAACACCCAACCGTAATTGACTTGACACCTAATCTTGAATAAATAGAAAACAATTTTAATGTAAACTTGAATTTGCACATTCTCACACTTCCAACATAATGAGGAGTATTGGGTGTTGTTTGGGAACATTCACATAAAGCTCTATGCAACCTCTAAGGTTACTACCTTGAAGCTTACTTTGGGTGTAAACTAGAAATGTTAGGTTATTTTCATAGGGCTTACCCTTGGATTTAATAACTCGGTGAATGCGTGATGTTTAGAAATGAACATTTACAAGTACCTACTTAGATAAAATATGTCATAACCTCATGTTTAGATTAATATGCATAACTTGTGAGTCAATTACAGAATCAGAACTTTCATAATCAATAGATTTCAACTATTTACTTTTATGTATCTTTTGCCAAAATACCCTTCACAGTTTTTGTCCCCAAAAGTGTCATGTTCATAGAAATATTGACATAGACTCCCGTGCCTCTTGGGTTCGATCCTTGCTTACCTTGTACTATCTTTTAGTATATTAGTGCATTTAATAAATCTTGGATTATTTTTATATCACATATTATACCCCATTTATTTGTCAGTTTGAGACACCAACACACTACGACCCCGTTATTTTATGGGTACATTCTTCACTTCATCTACAACTACTGTTCAGGAATTCGTAGAACACCTCCGGAATGAACTGAAAAACGTTCTAAAGTCTAAATTAACTAAAAACGAGCAACCCAAAAGTAGTTTAGATATTCAGGTATTGTTAGTTTACATCGAAATGTAGTGTTCCGGAACATAAAATTTCATTCCGGAAGGCTCCGGAACACGATGAACTGGTCCGGATGGTCCGGAACTGGTCCAAAATATTGGTTTGTTTTTATTTCGGAATGAATTGATAACACATTTTTATACTGTAAGGTAATTAAAAGTGAAATAAGATTTAGCCATTGCAATTTGCATATCTAATTTTATGTTATGCTAATGAAAAACAAAATGGCACGCGAGTCTTATAAAATACATATCGTTTAATTGTTTTATAACTTATGTTTTCTAGTAACATATGAGGGCTAAAACTCATTTTAGGTTTTATAATTATTATTAGTCTGGTTAGAATCTATTAGAGAATATTTTGACATCATTTATAAGCATCTTTTATTTATAATTTTAACTTTTTATTTAATCCGTTGTATTTATTATCAATAATTTATATGATTAATTATTTTTTCATATGTTGTAATAGTCAATCAATTTATTATGTGAGAAAAAATTAGAACCCTAATATTGACAATTTTAGAAGCAGTTTTTGATATATTAAAAACCGACATAACATGTTCCAAGATCGGTTCCAATATTCTAGAGTTGTAGGTTCTAATTTTAATAGGCCTATGTAGAAAAAATTGACAAAAAAACATAAATAAAACTATAAATTTCAACATATTTTAACTATATAGGTGTTCGATAGAATAACTTTAAAATTAAAAATTTACAAAGAAAAACAAAAAAAACTTCGCATTTGAATTTGTAGACCGGGCCCAGTAAAGGCCCGAAGGCTGTACAAAACCCTATCCCTCTTTTCCCAATTTTCTTTGTCGAAGTCTTCGATCTATTCTCTTTTCGCCTCTCTACCCAAACCCTAATTCGATCCCCAAATGGATCTCTCGAAGCTTTAATCAGTAATTGTGCATCACAATATCCAATTTAACATAGACGACTTTCTTGTTCCTCGTCATATAATCGTTTTCCTGCCTGCATATATTCTCCACCATCGCTTCTCTAATACATTCCCTAACGGAAATCGTTGATTTTAACGACACAGATTTGTAACCTTCTTCAGGTACATTTATTTTCCTAATCAATTTGTATAGTTTTTGTGTATTTATATGAATTAATCGCTAGATTGTTTCATCAGTGTAAGTAATCAAACATCTAAGATATCCAATTAGTTTTTCTGTTTGTCATCTGTGTGTAGGAACATTTTTGATGTTAGTTGAAATATTTCACGTTTGATCTTGATTGATTGTGTCGTAATTTTTGAGACGTATTGGTTCCTATCCGTAGCTATATTATTGGTTGCTAAAAACAAGTTTTGGTTGTTAACAGGTCATTTATTACTGAAAACAAGGTTTCATAGTAATCCTTACAATGGCATCTCTGGATATGTCGCTTGATGATATGATTAAAAGCAGGCGCACCACTGATAGAGGCAGAGGGAGAGGTAGGGCTCGTGGTGGTGGCGGTGGTCGAGGTCAAGGAAGATCATTTGGTGGTGGAAGACCAACAGGGCCACCTCGCAGAGGTCCCCTTGCTGTGAATGCCCGACCCTCAGCTTATACTATTGCAAAGGCAAGCTCAAATCTATGGATAATCTTATACATTTGATTCAGAACCTCTTAACATTTGCATTACAAATTCAAACATGAGGAGAGAAGTTGCTACTAAAGAATTGTCACCTATCATGGGAGGTTGATCATGTCAAATCACCAACACCAACAGTTTCTGTTTCTTTTTCTTTTTTTGTTGACCATTTTACCCCAAGTGATAAAAGGTTCTGTAGAGGGGGAGTTTATGGTGGATTCTATTTCTTTATCTGGGATATCTTCAGTTTCTGAAAAGGGAATTTAAGAGTATTTCATGGTGAATTGTGTTAAGTGTTAACTTGGTGTATGCTTGCTCCAGTCTTTCCGCAGACCAAAGATATCCACATGGCAGCAGGGTTTGTTTGAAGAGAGTCTAAAAGCAGTAGGATTTGATAATGGTGCAAGATTAAATGTTTCCAATCTGGACATTGGGGTCACAAATGAAGATATTAGGGTACACATTCATCATTCATCATCAATCATCATCATCATCAAACCAATGTTTTTTTAAATCTCCCCTTGACACTATCCATTTGCAATTCCAACCCAGGAACTTTTCTCTGAGATTGGAGAGCTCAAAAGATATGCAATTCACTATGACAAAAATGGTCGTCCAAGTGTAAGTGTTTTGAACCTTTTTTGTATTTTTTTTCATGAAAGAAAACATTTAATTTGTTTTGTTGCAGGGTTCAGCTGAGGTGTTGTTTGCTAGAAGAAGTGATGCGTTTCAAGCACTTAAGAGGTATAATAATGTACAGCTGGATGGGAAGCCTATGAAGATTGAAATTGAAGGCTCAAACTCTGAGATGATGCCTCTTTCTGCTCGTGTAAATGTTGTTGGAGGGCGAAATGGTCAAAGGACTGTTGTCATGACGTATGATATTTTTTTCTCCCTTTTTTCATTAAATCACAACATTAATTGTCATTGGTGTAATTCAAGTATCACTGTATTTCCTACAGCTCAGGAATTGGTAGGGGAAGAGGAAATGCTGCAGCTATTCCTAATCGTTCATTTGGGTAACACATTTTGTCCTTTTATATAAAAAATAGCAATCTTTTTTTGTTTTTTTATTTTATTTTATGAATTGGGTTGTGGTTTTTAGACAAAGGATGCGTGGGGGTATGATGAGGAATGGGCGTGGTGGAGGTGGAGGTGGTGGTGGTGGTCGTGGGCGGGGAAGAGGACAGAGTGGTGGTGGGCGTGGGCGGGGTAGAGGGAGGAAGGCGGTGGTTGACAAGTCTGCTGATCAACTGGATAAGGAACTGGACAACTATCATGCCATGCAAACTTAAGTTTTTAGTTGGAGAGTTTGAAAACAGAGAGATTGATTTCAGTTGTGTATAAAAAGCTTCTCAGTTTTTACTACTGTTATTGAGTTGAAACCGATGTTTTTGGGTTTAATATGGTTTGTAGATTTCGATTTTTTACTAAATCCATGTATTTTAGTTTTTAATTTGTTTTTTAGAATGTTACGTCAAAATTAATTTCTTCAAGCATGACTGTTTGATTAATGTTATGTAGCATCTTTGTAATACATGCTTTTGATACTTTTTAGTGTGCAAAATAAAAAGACAACGACCAATGATGTATTGTGTAATAAATGCTTTTGATGCTTTTCACATTTAAAAGAGTAAATTACACAAGTGGTCTCTATGGTTTGGGGTAATTTATAAGTTTGGTCCCTAACTTATTTTTTTAAACTTAGATCAGTTTGTTTTTGTTGCGCCTTTAATCTTTGTTTTACCTAAAAAGACTATTTTGTCTTTGATTTTTAAGGTGTGATATGTAAAGTAAGGTAAGATGAGGTGTAAGTGTGGTTGGTGTGTTTATTTAAATAAATTAAAAAATCAATGACAAAATAGTATTTTTAGGTAAGACAAGGATTAAATGCGCAATAAAAACAAACTGTAGGGATCTTCCAAGTTAAAAAAATAAGTTAGGGACCAAACATGCGAAGTATCCCAAACCATAGGGACCATTTGTGTAATTTACTCCATTTAAAAACATAAATAGTCGGACTTGAAGTTAATATCAACAAATTTGAAAGCCTAGGGACCTTTTTGTAAACTTTAAAAGATTTTAAACTAAATTACATATTTGAAAGCCGGTTGAGAATGTTGTGACTTTTCAGATTGCGGTTCATATATGGTGTGATGTTAGAGCATTGAAAGGACATTGAAGATGCTCCATGTAAATCAACATTCACATAATGATCACCTCTAACAAGAGCAATAACAACTCTATGAGTTGAGATGTCTTAGGGACCAAGCCATAGTGGAAAACATGTTGATGGACTATCTTTGCTTAGAAAAATAACTATTACATTATATTTGTTAGCAATGAGAAAGCTAGTGACCGACATTAGAGATGAGCTCTTTTTCCCAAATCCCGATCCCGTACCAGTACCGTACCGGAACCGGTACTGAACCGTACCGAGTTTAAAAATATGGGACGGTACTTGGTACTACAAATACATGAAATTCGGTAATCGATACCGCTGGTACCGGTACTAGTACCGAAAACCGGTACCATTCCTGGTACCGGTACATGTGATGTTAATTCGGTTCGGTACTCGAGATTGACTTTCGACCAAATTCGGTTTTTGGGAAATCGGGAACGGTACGGGTCGGTACCGGTTCCGTCCCACGCTCATACCTAACCGACATAATCAACCAACGATCTTTTGGTGCGAAACGTGATCCATTGAAATTCAATGAGTGATGTATGGTGTTTAAATCATAATAAAAAATATGTGCGTACTCAGCTGGGTGTGCTAACAACTCATTCTGTAATTCTAAGCAGATTTGACGCCAATTATCTTCACAAGAACCGAGACACGTAGTTATCGCACGTAATCCATAATTTCCATCTCCCCTCACGTTTTGTATGTTTGTGACATATGGATGAAATTCATACGAAATTTCATTCATAAGTGGATCTGAATTATACATTACTTGTTCTTGGTTAAAGTACAAGTTATGCATCGATTGTTCCTGATTAAAGGTTGAGTTGAACATTGGAGGTTCTCGGAACGAGTACGTACTGTGCCTATCTGGTTATTTGTTTAGATCAAACAAATTAGACCGCATATAATCAGGCGTATAAGTAGAAATACTACGTCTAGACGGATATTGAGTTGGTGGCGCTTGAGTGGGCTGATCTTGAGTTGGTGGGTCCTGGTTTAAATCAGTATGAGTGTTCTTGAAAAGTTTCTTCTTTAAGGAGGGGGCCCACAAGTAGTTTTGTGAGTAGCAAGTTCAGAAACTGAAGTTGTTAATGTTGGATATAGTGTCTAAGTCCATAACTTTATTTGGTATGTACTTGACCCGACCCGGCATGGT